CACACATAGCCCAAAGCAGGTAGGCAACGAGTGATGCTCAATAAATGAAAGGTTAATACACATTTAAATATCATTCGACTCAAAATAAATAGAAATCCAATAGCACCCAAGCATTATCCTAATTAGTCAGTCTTCAAAAAATTAAGTTGAGAGTAAGTTATTTTTTAAGAACAAAAATCCTCACATATTTTTACCAATGCTGAACTGCTGATAGTTCCCTCTACCTCATCCTCTTGCTTTTCTCCCAGTTGTTGCTGGAGTCAGCCCCTCTGTGTCCAGCATGAATTCTTCCTCCTCCCACTTCAATAGCTAACTCCTAGCCTCCTACCCTCTTTCCACCCACCTTGTTCAGGAACCTCTCTGAACATGACTGGTGGCATCCCTTCTTCCTCTCAAAGACTTTTTTTTTTTTAATTCAGATTCAATTTCTCCTGTTTTGCATGATATGGGGCATAAAACTCTATCTAGTTCGGTCTCCATTTTCTTATCCCTAAAACTGGATTATTGATCTCTGATTTCTTTTTGGCGGTCAAATTCTTCGTTTTACATACAGCATGTTTTTATGAAGCCCAATATTTTCATGAATGGAAGTCTTACCTTTGAGGAAAAGTGATTTTTGGAATCACAGAAGTGACCCTAGAAGTGATTGGGAGGTAGAATACTACAAGGGCTCTCACTCATATATCATCCATGTTCCCTCTCTAATACCAGAAGAGATAATTAGTTCCTTTGTTACCTGCAGTTTTGATGAAAACGTTACTCCTAACAGGAATTCTCGGGAGAGGATGTTGAGTTCATGAAAGGTTTAACATGAAACCAGTCTTGAAAAAGCCCTCCATGGACCCGCTGGAGTCTTGGAAGTGAATGCACACGGGGACCTGAAAATATAGACATTTAGTTAACTTTCTAGATTCCAAATTTGATGACCTTGAACAAAACCTTAACATTTTATTAATATTACCATTCCAAATTTCTATGTTATCAGATCAAGGTGTCATGATAATACTCAGTCATATCTACTCCACTTACCAAGTTAAAAATAAAAGTGGAGCTACAATTTTTTCTTTCTCTCTGGATCTCAGTCCCAAATGAAAAAGATAAATTCTCTGTAGAAAATTCTAGAAAGCAAACACAAACCAGAAAGATCATGCTGGAACAGTGTATTATTTTCCTTCTGTTTATAATCTTTAGGATAGAGCTTTATAACTCTCAAAAAGCAAGTCTTGTTTTGGCACCATTTATATTTCAACTACTAATCAGGAAAATATTTGCTAAAGTGCCAAGACTCAAGGCTTAGATGTCTCCATTGAATCGATTTCTTTGCTGGAGCTAAAATTTAATAGGTTGCTAAGAAAGCCAAATCAATGATGTATTCTCTTAAAAATCTTCCTAATTATCCTAACATTTCACTTTTCCTACAGAAATCCATGATCTTCCTTACTGGCTCTGTGTAGAAAAATTACATTCTTGTCAGCTTGCTAAAAATTAAAATTGACTAGTATTTTTTATTTTAAAGACTTATGCTTCTGCAGTTCAGTTTGATATGCTTTTATACTTGCATACTATTCAGTATTAAAGTTACAAAGGAACTCATTTGAGGAATAATGCTTGGCCAGAGACAGTAGAATAGTATGATTTGTTTTGGAGAGCCTTAGGAGAGATTTTATTGATAGAATATATAACTTGGTTCTAAGTCACAGAAGAAAGTATAACACATACCTCTACAATATCACATTTTCTTTGGATTAACTGTTGAAAAGTTGTGCTTACTGTTATTATTCATAGGATTTGAAACTGAATTAATGTAATTGCTAGAGAAAATAAACTATTTGAGAAATTGTAAGAGACTAAAGCCTAAGTTGCCCTAGTCTCTGGGGATATGATAGTAGGCTCAGTGTCAGTTAAGTAACTGGGTTTTCATTAAAAAAGTGGGTCTGCATTAAAGCATTAATGCATCAAAGCATTTACCTCCACCAAGAGCTGATTATTTGGTAAGATACGTGTTAATTCATCTTTAATGCTATCTTTTTTTTTGCATCTCCATTGTTTTCCAGTTTGAAAAAAGAAGACTGTCTATGCAATACAATGTAGAGGCTAAAGCATATTTTGTGTAACCCAATTACTATATTTTCCTAGTATTTAATTACTGTTTCACTTTAAATGTTAAATATTACTATATTTTCCTAGTATTTTAATTACTGTTTCACCTTAAACATTAAATATTTTAATATTTATATCTTATTTTTAACATAAATGTACTCATTTTGGTGTTTTATCCCAAACAGTTCCATTTTTCTTCATTACTTCTAATCAGGCTTTCCTATGAGACAAAGAAGGGAATGAAATAAATCACCAGTAGAATATTCCAAACAACCAGGAAGAACACAGAGATTTTGTAACCACAACCGTAAAGTTTCTAAATATCAGAAAATTATAACCAATCAGTTGCATGTTCTACTTTCTTTTAAAAAAACAGTCCTTTTAGATTTTTTGAAGTCGAAAGGTAGGAAAATTATGTGAGAAGTGAATTGGGTGCTGAGTTAAACTTCTCTGGCTGGATGATGTATCTTAAGACTTGAAATAGTCATTTCTCTTGTAGTGTGTCTTAGTTCAGCACACCAATCACTAAATGAAATATAGTACACTGTATAGAAATGTCAAGACAGGTAATAATTTACATGCTTTTGTATATAAAAAAATCAATACTATATATTACAAACCCTGTGGAATGCTGATGTAGAAAAAAAGTCCATGTTCAAATCAGTTCTCATACAGATAAATGCCTCTGATGTAAACCAGACAATGATTAGCCAGCATCTTTCCTGACCTAAATGCCTAGTGTAGACTTTGTAGAAGTAGATTAGTTTTCTGTTCCCATTTAAAAAAATTACAGATACATATGAGACTAGCCATGGGAAATAATTTGAAAGACATTTCCTTTTCTTTTTTTTGCAGTGAATACCTTCAACTTTTTCTTATAAAGTAAATCTATTATTTCTAGACTTTTGATTCTCAAACATCATTTCCTTCAAGGTTTATATGTTTTCAGTGGCATTGCATTTTTTTTTTCAAATAACAACCGCTAGTTGAATTTTGGAAACAACTGTAAAAAAAAATTGTACAATTCATGAAGTTTTTTCTTATCTATCTAGTTTTTTCTTATCTATCTAGTCATCATAGCAATTTGGTGGGCACAGAGAACAAGAAAAGTATCCCTGCTTTGCATGTAAGAAAATTGTATTCCCCAAAGATAAATGGCTGACAATATTCCAGGTCCTAATAGGGTGACTGAAGCTCTCTGTGGTTTTAGTCATGGTCATAAAAATTTGCAGAACAGGGCCCTCCCTGGTGGCACAGCGGGTTAAAGCACAGCACAAAGAAGCTAAAGCCACTTCTGCATGAGTTTGGTTCCCGCCTGCCCCGGAGGAGATCTACATGGTGTGGCAGACCTCTCCTGACCCGCCCGCTGCTCCCCTCAGCAGTGTACTTCGTCGATCTGCCTGTTCTGTACCCCACTCTGTCTCTGGTGAATCCTCTCACCCTCCGCATCTCTGGCCTGTACCCCAGTTCTGTACGAATAAATAAATAAATCTTTTTAAAAAATTGCAGAACAAACTTCAGGAAGTGTGTGCCCAAAACAAGAATACTGAGGGAACTGCCATGGAAATGTTAAGAATGTGCATGCAAACTGGTAGGAATGATGTCATTTTGCCATCCCTTACATCAGGATAAATCAGACTGAGCAAGTACACGGAGTGCTTGTTTTATTTTATTTTTAAAGATGTATTTATTTATGCATATAGAACTGGGGTATAGGCCAGAGGTGTTTGAGAAGATTCACCAGAGGGGGTAACAGAACAGGTGGACTGACTCTTGGCCCCACTTCACTCAGACCTTCATGCACTCCTCAACTAGTGACGTTGTCATTTCAATGGACCCACCAACAAAAGATATTCTCCTTATTTCTATATCTCTAACTGATAGATCTGAAGAGTGCATTTTTTTTTTTTTTTTTTTTTTGCCAGGTAAAGTAAGTTTCACAGGTAATACAATTAGTGGCCTCTTTTGGAGGGCCTTATCCTTCCTACCGAAATTGGCGCCATATTTTTCATTGTATTTTCTCAAAATGTAGCCTCCCCCCACCCCCACTTCAAAAGATCTTTATCACTTCCTCTGTCTTAATAAATTTGATATTTGCCTATTTTATTAACTATATCCTGACAGCAGGGACAAGAGGGTACAGTTTAGTATGAAGGCTGGGAAAGCTGGGGTTGTGTTCAGGCAAAGCTCCCCCCACCTGTCATTTCCCACTACCTCATCAAACTACTTCCATTGTGCTTTGGATGCTTTCCAACTCAGTGTTTAAGATAATGGTGCATCCTGAAACTCGCAGAACTGCTCTTTCTCTACGACTAAACCTCAGAGCTACCTTTCATCCTTCCTGGTTCTTGAATACCTAAGACGTACCTCACCTTACCACTCCTTGGGGACCAAGACCTGGGCATGCGCACCGGGCTGGGAAACGAACGAACGCCCGCTCGGGCTTCGGCTTCGTCCTGTCTCCACCCTTCCCGGCGCTGGGCCGGTCTGGCTGGTTCCGACAGCTGGGGAATTAGTGTCCCGCCCATCCCTAAGCCTGGAGAGGCTCAGGCTCCGCGCCTCCGCCCTTGTTCCCTCGCCTCTTCCAGCTCCTACGAGTGAAAACCGCTACAAAGGGCTTGAATGAAACATGTGTGGGTTTAGTGAGTCGTAAACCACCAGGGGATCCCGTCTCCCCACAAACCAGCGGCTCTCCGAGGAGGAAGCGGAGGGGGAGGAGGCAAGGAGCTGAGCGCTGGGTCTCGCCGGCGCGCGCAGCGGCTGGAGCAGCGGGGAGAGGCCGGGCCACCCTCCCCCTTCCCGGCCACGCACCGCCTCGCCCGCGGCGGTTCCAGGCACCACACTCTCCGCCCCGGCGGCGCCCGCTGCCGCAGCAACAAGCTCCTGCGGCCACCGGCACAGTCCCCCGAGGAGCAGGGCCCGCCCTCCCCAACCCCATCGCTGATTCCCTTCTCCTCGGGGACACCCACCCAGCCGACCCCCGGTCAACTTTGAGCTGGAGAAGCAACTTTGACAGTGGTCGCGGGTTTCGAACTCCGCTTATTGGCAGCTGGAGCCACCCAAATCGCTGGGGCTAGGTGGGGCAAGAGTTTCCCAGGCGCATCCACGCTGCGTCTGCTGTTTGCAACCTGTTTCCAGCGGGAGAGGAGCGGGGTTGTGGCCACTAGGCATCGGAAGAAGGGAAACTTGTTTTTCTTTGCCTTTAGCGACTTGGGCTTGCTACTGGATAAAGAAGCATCTAACGGATGTAAATAGGCAGAACAGCTATTACCAAGAAGGCATCCACCCAAAGACAGGGAGGAGCGTGGGGCTTCGCTCGGGCTTCTCCCAGTTGCAACACTGATCAACAGTCTGGTGCTGGTTGCAACTTTTCAAGGTCAGTCACCGCGAGCAGCGATTTCCCTCTCCGAAGCCCGAGGATACGCAGCCCTGGCGATGTATTTGGCTGAGAAATGAATAGGATGCCAAATGAAGAAGGATTGTAAAAGGGGAAGGTTGTGACCCCAAAGGCCGTCCTCGGCGTAGCCCGCGGGGATGAGTCTGTGACATGATTCTAACTCTCAGCAGCAACTCGGGCAGCAGGTGTCGGTCCTAAGCCCGAGCGGTGGCTGCCCGGTGAGCCCTCACCGAGCCATGCCGGACGCGCGCTCGCCTCTCGCCTGCACCTGGCGGCGGCTGCTGCTGCTTCTGTTTCTGCTGGAGGTTTCTGCTTCTCCTGCACTCGCGTCAGCTCCGGCGCCCAGGAACGAAACTTGTCTGGGGGAAAGCTGTTCACCTCGGTGGCTCCAGCGTCGCAGCAGGGACACTTGGCGACCGAGAAATTCTGCTCTTGACCTGCAAGCCCTTGCGCCCAGGGAGGAGCCGCGGGAGGCAGCGGTGCGCACGGCGCCCTCCTGGGAGCTACCGGCCGCCGCGGGTGATGCCCAAGGTGCCAGCGAAGGGGCGGGGGCGACTGCGGGCGACCCGCTTGGCTCCTGGAGGAGGAAGGGTAGCCGGATTCAGGAGCACCCTCGCATTTTGGGGAGAGGGCACCCGACGGCTCTCCAACTCTTCCTCCAGACCTCAGAGGAGAAGAAGGACCCCAAAAGCGCTCGCGTTTCTGGGCCAAGTCACGAACAGAGTGTGAGGACCGACCCCGGAGTCAGCGATCTTTATTACTGGCCAAGGAGAGCCGGGAAACTCCAGGGTTCACACTACGAACCCCCTCCCAAGACAGTCCATGGACCTTCAGGACACGAAGGGCGGACAATTGCACCCCCTGGTAGGGCTCTAGCCCAGAATGGGTCCTCAGGTGAAGGGGTTTACGAACACGGGGGAGGCCGCCAGGGCAACAGCACCAACAGGCGCTTGCGACTGAAGAACCCCTTCTACCCACTGACCCAGGAGTCATATGGCGCCTATGCGGTCATGTGCTTGTCGGTGGTGATCTTTGGGACAGGCATCATTGGCAACCTGGCAGTGATGTGCATCGTGTGTCACAACTACTACATGCGGAGCATCTCCAACTCCCTTTTGGCTAACCTGGCCTTCTGGGACTTTCTCATCATCTTCTTCTGCCTTCCGCTCGTCATCTTCCACGAGCTGACGAAGAAGTGGCTACTGGAAGACTTCTCCTGCAAGATTGTGCCCTATATAGAGGTAATGCATTCCGGGGGTCTCAAGTTACTAGCTTTGTCCGTTTCCAGGATTTATAGCATCAAAACTGCTGCTCCATGCACTTACTTGGCTGCTGAACGCCTTCACTTTTTCTCTGGGTCCCTCCTCCATATTGTCCCCTAGTTAATTTATGCATGCATATGCAAACACATATTATGCATCGGTGCACACACATATTATGCATCTGCTCCAGGATGTGAAATGATTTTGATGTCATAATGCACAGAATTGTTTAGATTTTAAACTTACCTCTGATTATGGTGTTATATATTTCTGATTTAGGAGTCTATCAGAGTCTATGGTTAATAAGCAGCCAGTTCATGGTTGACAATATCAAAACCTAGCAAGAAAAATAAAGCCCGTAAATCCTTTATGTACTAGAGGTCTAGTTTTCTAATATGATTCCCCCTGAAGTTAGTGTTTCTCTTAAATATCAAAATTGGAGCAATATTTTATTTAACAGGGAGAATCTGACTTTATTTGTCACTTGGCCTCATAATATATTAATAACCTCCCAAATTAGGTTTAACATCTTTGGCTGTCTGCCATGTCTCCTATCTAAATATATAGGCCAGTTCTTCTGTCTGTTTCCCCCTCTCCATTTCTTAACAGCTTAATATTTGTTGTATGAATGAGCTTAAGTAAAAGTTAAATGTTTCCTTCCACATCAAGTTACAGAATTTGATATTCTCTAAGTATACTAGATCTGTCACTTATTATAAAGATAAGGGATGGGTAATTTTAAGGGATTGGCTCTAAACTCAACATTTCATAAGAAGGGGTCATGTAATAAGTTTCAAACTTTGGAGTGAAATCGTTGAGTCAGTTTTACTGTTTCATCCTACAGTTCGTATCCTGAGCCTTTATTACGGTAGTTGGAATTTGCTCTTTAAATGGCCTCTCTTTAAACACCAGCTCTTGGAAGAGGCCCAAGTGCTTTGTTGCCAGTTGTGTTTTTAGCCAGCTGGCCCCTGATTTTCTCCATTCAGACTGTCCATTTCATTTATGAAGCAGAAGAAGGGAAACTGTAAATATTCTAGACTCCCTGATCCTCTCTGGAACCAGGGCCAAGTGACACCATGTTCAACATTGTTTCATGGCCTCAAGCGAAGGGATAAGTAAACAGAAAACAGTACCTACTAAGAAGCATCAGGACAAGAGACAGTAAATAAGACACTCAGTCATTCTGGCAGGGATCAAATGCTTGTTAAATCAGCTGTTGCTACTTACCAGAATCCAGGATTTCTCTTGTTGCCAAGCTTTAAGTAACTGAAATATCTAATTTATTGGGTACATGGTTTACTTTTGAATTGCACAGGAAGTTGAATTTATGCTAGAGAGTATGTGCCTACAAACTGACTTTTCCAGGTCAATTTCAGCTGACAATTTGTATAAATAATGCAAAAGAAACTCACATATGCAAGGACAACACAAAACTAAACCATAAAGTGAACAGAAGAGTTACCGGCCCCCAGTGAGAGAAAAGTATATTGGTTTGTTTTACATGTAGTGGATATGTAGAGACCTTTATATAGTGGAAAGAAAAACAATCAAGAGGATAGAAAAAAGTAACTGTTCTTGAAAAAAAACTTTAAAATAAAAAAAATCCATTCAAATTCAGAGAACAACTGTGAAAACTTATTTTGTTGTGCCCCATGAGTTTTGAGTGATACACTTATTCTGTTTGTGTTTTAATTTTTTTTCTCTCTGAGGTTTGAGAAATATAAATATTTATATTTGCATTTCATTTCAATTTAATTCTCTGCTCCTTAATCACATATTATTTTAACCTGTTTTTTAAACATTGAAACAATTTACTACTTTTTTGCTCCCTGTAGTTCGCCCTCCCCACCCCATCTACAGCCTTCTCTATTTTTAAATTATTGGTCCTAGACTTTAATTTTCACAGAAAAGCAAAGATTTGGGAAAAAAAATTTACTCACCTTTTTCTCGAAAATATATTATAACATATTTTTACTGCTAGAATAATGAATGCAAATCTCAAGATACTGTCTGTATTCCTATTCTGAACTTTTTTTTGTTTGTTTTAGTGTACTTTGTGAAAGTAATAATTAGACAGTAGTATCAGCTCCATAATTCCTGAGGATGACAGGGAGAAATAAAGGTTAAGTCTCAAAATAAGACATTTATGCTTCCAAGAGCCCCTGCTATTTTCATACAAGAGGGATTTAATGCCTGTTCCATTTCTGGTTCTGGAAAGAAGCAGGCTGTAATGCGGAGATTTGCTAGTAGGAAGTTTAATGGAGTCTATGCTCAGGTTCAACTCCTGCTAGGGAATGACAGAAGCAGGACTGGGCAGAGGGAGAAGTTGACCTGTGCTGCATATGATTCAAAGACCCTAGCAACACTAAAGGGAGTGCTAGGAATCAGCAGTCCTGCAGAGAAGTCCTGAGTCAAGGGAGCCCAACCCATCTGTTCAAAACCAACTAGTTGCTGGATATAATTTGCTCTCAGAAAGGAGACCTCACCTTGAGCTGAGTGTATCTATTGGTGGAACAGGGACTCAGCTAAGAGCTGTCAACTGCCAGTGGTTCCCACAGTGGGGGAAATCAACACTTCATTCTGGAGGCACTTTTGGAAGACACAATCTGAGAGGGGAATCCCAGCATCCGCTACTGTGGTTTTTGACTTCTGCAAAACTAGCATCAGATAGCATTCTCAGGAAACCCCTGATTTTAGATAAAAGGTGAGGTTCAAAGTAGAGAAGTGACCCTCTTAGCAGGTGTACCTAGTCAGTGGCAGTTAGACCCTAGAGTCAGCATTTCATGTTGATGTTTGTTTATCAAACAAATGTTTGTTCACAAGTAAGTTCAGTGATTTTTTTTTTCCTTCTGTTTCTACTCTTTGGCATCTTTTTTAAAAGATTTATTTATTTATGCATACAGAACTGGAGTACAGGCTAGCAGTGCAGGGGCGGTGAGAGGATTCACCAGAGACAGAGTGGGGAGCAGAACAGGCAGATTGAGGAGTACAGCGGGCGGGTCAGGAGAGTCCTGCTGTGTCACGTGGGTCACCTCTGGGGCAGGGATTGAACTTGTGCTGTTGTGGTTTTAGCTTCTTAGTGCTGTGCTTTAACCCACTGTGGAACCAAGAAGGGCCTCTTTAGCATTTTTTAAGAAAGATTTCTATATTCAGTAGGCAGGGAAAAAAATAAGCCCAGTTAACTTCATTTGTTATATAATACGATTTATAGCTTCTTTATATTTTCTTACATCTTGTTTCTTATATATTAATAATAAGTTTCACAGCTGGTAGCTCTTTGACTTTCTCTATAATCCCCCCACCCCAAGCCTTTTCCCTCTCAACTACAAGACTTCTAAGAATTCCTTGACATTTTGTTTATATTATCTAGATTTTTCTTTACTCTTATGTTTTTTCACTTTTATGTCTATATTTTGATGTGTTGGCTATTCTTCCATTGTTTTTTCACTACACACCTTCTTCTGCTTGATTTATAATGAATATTCTACATTTTTTAATAATCAACTTTCCCTTTCCAACATTTATATGCTTTTTCCTTATTTTAAAACTTTACCCACAGTTGATTGTTACTGATATGTACAAACTTTCTCCCATATCTTCTCTTTTGCCTTTTCCCCCCTTTTCTATTACAGTCTTTTCTTCTACAAGAATATAAATATAATCTTAAGGAAGTAGTAGAATGGGGAAGAATAGAAAAATAGCAGGCATTTTCAGCAGAAAATGCAGCTCTTTGCAATTTGCCTTCAACTTTCTCTTTATTTCTATTGTTGACATAAGCTTGAGGAGTGCACCCTGTTTCCAGGGCCAACACTAGAAGAGGGAATTTTATCATAGTTCATTTTGCTACGAGTGGGAATCTACTGGTAACTCTTATAGTTGATCACTTATTCTTTTCTAGTCCAGGCTTATGGTGTGTTTATGACCCAGTGATAGTTCTCATTAGGATCAAGGGCAGATGGTATAGCAGGAAAGGGGGATGGAGAAAGAAAGGACTCTGGGTAGACAGCACCATTCTATAGAATCATCGTAGTCACCAGAAAATATACTGAAAGCAATCATTGTGTCTGCAGAAAAGAGTGGTGAAGAGAAGAGATGTGGATATGGAGATAGATCAGGGTATAACAGTGGGAGATGAAGGAAGAGTCCCTACAACACTATCCTCTTAGGAGTGTAGGAAGTGGTTAAGTCAAATAATTTATACAACTCAAACATCTTGCTCATTATTGGGTGGAAACCAGAGTCAGTGTAGCATCTTATCCTGATCCACTGTTAAAAATTTATTTCTGTTTTGAATAATATGGATTTTATCTTCAGTTTAAAGAACACTCCCCCACTCAGTTTTTCTGGGACACAAGATTCCTGTAGAAGAATGGAAGATGGATAAAGGAAATATATTTCACGAGGTTATCTGTGCCAGGGATGATATAGAGTCTTTTTTAATGAAAAGAGACAGATTCTCCAATAGTTTGGGGGATAGTGTTTTAAAACTGAGTAGAAGCAGTCATTTAGATTGTAGTTGTCACTGATAGGAAAGAAAGGAAGCATAGTAGAGTTGAAGATGATGTTACCATATAGATACACAATTCTACACAAGTTTTCTTAGAACCCCTACATTCAAGTAATTTCTCATGGCAGATGGTATGTTTGTTTGAGTGGCAGATTATCCTTTAATGGTGTTCTGATGGACTTTTAAGTGGAAACATACAGTTTTATGAGCAATTTGAAGATTGCTAATAGTCTCTGGAAAAATAGATTCACTACATGAAAATGGTGTTTAACAAATATTTTATGACTTCCCATTAATCACATTATAGTCATCTTCTACCTTCCATACAAGTGAAAACTTAACTGCAGCAGAAAGTAAAAAAAAAAAAAGTTATAACATGTGTTTTTATTTATAACTTTATTCCTGACTGTTGTAAAATGAGGCTTACTGAATTTGAGTTCCACATAAAAATATTTTTTATGATATTCAAATG